TTTTTGGGTGTTGAGTTTGAGAAGTTCTTTATAGATCTTGGATACCAGCCCTTTATCTGTAGTGTCATTTGCAAATATCTTCTCCCATTCTGTGGGTTGCCTCTTTGTTTTATTGATTGTTTCCTTTGCTGTGCAGAAGCTTTTTATCTCGATGAAGTCCCAAAAGTTCATTTTCACTTTTGTTTCCCTTGGCTTTGGAGATGTGTCTTGGAAGAAGTTGCTGTGGCCGATGTCAAAGAGGTTACTGCCTATGTTCTCCTCTGGGATTTTGATGCATTTCTGTCTCACATTGAGGTCTTTCATCCATTTAGAGTTTATCTTTGTGTATGGTGTAACAGAATGGTCGAGTTTCATTCTTTTGCATGTGGCTGTCCAATTCCATGTTCAGAGGAAGGCCCCGCACCGCCCCATCCCCCAGAGATTTCTGGCGGCCGCCTCTGCCTTCCTGACTTCCCCTTCTGAATTCTCCTTCTTCCCCTGGCATCCCGAGATGGATCTTTATCACCTTCCCCCTTTCAGACCTAATTGAGGGATTTAGGCCCTTTCTTGGGTTTCCAGAAGACAAAACCAAACAACACAAAGTGGGACAATTGGGAGAAACCTCTCACGCAGGTAAAGGGAGTAAACATCTCAGCACCGCAAATAAAAGGAAAGGTTAGGCATCCGTCCACGGTCAACGCCTTCAGCCGGAGGCCCCAGGAGCGCACCTGCCCCAGCACGGAGCTGGGTTTGCGGACAAGGGAGGAGCAGTGCACAGCGTGGGCAACCGCTGGGAGTGGTTCTGTGATTGGCATCTCGGGCGTTCTTAATTCAGAGTGATCGATCACTTTGATTCTGAGAGGCAGCAGTCCCCCTCACGTTTGCCTCGATGGGAGGGTAGGGGGATGCGGCCCGCACAGCGTTCCCGTTTTTTCCCATGTTTGCGACTGTGGCAGGGCCTGGTGTCAGTCTTGACCCATCAGGGTCACAGAGCGGCCTCCCCTAAGGATGCTGGCGTCTGCGAAGTCCCTGATGGTCAATGGGAGCGCGAGGCCTCGCTGGGAGCGCCCGCCCAGCTCACGGACCACTCTCGGTAGCCACTTTTCTTTCGGGATCCCCGCTCTCAAAAATCCTGCAGGCCACCTTTCCCCGCTGCGCTCCCTGGCTCCCCTCAGAGGCCCCACCAGCCCCACATTTCTGGCCCCCCCCCCCCCCCCACCCCCCTGAGCGGCTCAGCTCCCTCTAGCCCTTCCCTCCCAGCCCAGCTCACAGTGCAAGTCAGGAATGTGGTTCCCCTCACCGGACACAGCCCCACAACGTGAGAATTCTGTTCCCCGCTCCTGCCCTCCCCATTAGACCACACTGGTTACAGGTAGTTAGGGTTTCAAGACCAGCTTCTTCCCTGATTTATAAATATGTTATGTGGCTGGAGACATGTGGACCACAGGTGCAGGAAGTCACTGGATGCGGCTCAGAATCTAGCGCTAGCAGGATGGTGGGGGACCCTCCGCCCTGCTTCCGGACACTATTCAACTATCTACACCCTCGGGTTCTGGGGGAGGAGGGTGAGCTGGCCTCCTCCAAACCTCCTCCCTGTCCCCCTTCCCTCCAGATCTTCAGGGACCTGAGCCAAGACCCCGCAGAGGACATTTTCCTCACCGAGCTGAAGGTGAAGATCCAAGACTCCAAATTCCCCAAAGGTGAGCATTTGTTTCCCCTTTCCCGGAGCTGGCTGACTCCGCTTGCCCCCACCCAAGCCCTGTTTCCAGAAAGTCCTCCCAGCTCTCACCTTCGCTGAATACCAGGATGCCCTTGGCCCCTCCAAGCCTGCCTAGACTGGAACCCTCGAGGGGCTTCCTTCCATCCAGGGAGAGGTGCTGTCAAAATTCAGGAGCTTAGCTCGCCCTGGGTGAGGTGGGGAGCAAGACGGGACGGGTGGGAGCCTCCCACCCTCAGCCTCTTCTCCCCTTGTCCCTCAGATGGCTTTTCACCCAGGAGGAAGGGCGCGGCCGAGGGCCCAGGGGCCGAGCTGTCCATCTGCTACCAGAAGGTGTGTGGCCGTGGGCGTGGTCAGAGGAGGTTGGGGGGTGGGTATGGCAGGATGGAAGCAGGTGTCAGGGACGGGCAGGTGGGGAGCAGATCGAGCCAGAACCTTCAGCCTCTTTTCTTGAAGCTGCCCCCAGACTTCTCCCAGCCTCTGGAGAGTTTTGCAGGGATGGGTGCATTACAATTGGCCTTGCGTGCAGCCCAGGAGGCCATCTGATTTAAGGAACAAGGGGGCTGTCCCATCGCTCAAAAATACCTTCCTCCCTGGCCGACCAGATGCTTGAACTGATGGCATCAGAGACACATTCCCTTGGGTCCGGGAGGCTGAACGTGTTCCCTGGGGCCAAGAGTGCTCTAGGCCTTTCTCCACCAGCCCCTTGTTGGACAGGAGCGACACAGACAAGAATCTCAGTCAGGCCAGGGGCGGGAAGCAGGACTGTTGACATGAGGATGCCCAGGAACAGGGCTCTTCTGAGGACCCCCATCTGTTCCTGCCTCCCCCTCCCCAGGCCCTGCTCAGCCACCGCGCCCAAGAGGTCTCCAGTTCCCTGCGGGCCACTGGGCTGGTCCTGAAGGCCCTTCCAGCCAGTGACACTGAGGGTGAGGAGTGGGGACAGCAGAGAGAGAGAGACAGAGAGAAGGCACGAGAAGCGGGGAGGACGGGGGAGAAGGAGAATGACAGTTGAGTGACAGTAGACGGGGAGAGCCAGGGGAGACGGGCCTCCCACCTGTCCCTGGGATCCTAGAACGAGGCTGAGTTCCTACCAGTGCTGGGCCCAGGGCCGGGCGCTGGATACCTGGGTGAGGCGTGGTCCCCACCATCAGGGTGCTCACCAGCGGGGAACGCACCGTAGCCGTGGCCTCTGGCTGTGCCCTGTAGACCTGATGAGACAACAGCTAGAAGTCGGAGGCACCCCATGGAGGCAGGTGCATTTGCCCTCCTGCTTCTGCGTCGGGCCCGCAGAGCTAGTTGTGTTGGGTCTGGAGATGTTGAATGTCGTTCCACGGGGCAGGTACTCTCCAGTTCGCAAAAGGCACCACTGGTCCAAATTATCTAATTCTGGCCAGTTGCCTAATTAGAGCTAGACAGTAGATAATCAGATAGTCAGTCGATCTAATTACCTAACTACCTAAATCTAAAATGGGGATGAGAAAAGATACCGATTTATATGCATATCGTAAATTATACATATGAGCTCTCCCGTTAGCCCCCTGGTCTTCTGAAACGACGAAAAGTTTTGTAAGGTGGATTAACGTCACCGAACACCTTCATCGGAGGCGAGGCCATGTTCAACGTCAAACACGTCAACGCTTTGAATCCTGTGAGACAGGCATTATTACTGTTAGCAGCTTTTTACTGGAGAGGTAATGAAGCCAGAAAAATGACCCACCCAAGGTCATGTCCCACCTCCTTCCTCCCAGGTTCGGGGCCCACCCACGCCCCCCCATCTGCTGCTCCAGTCATAGACCTCAGGTGCCTGAATGTCAGCGTGATGGAGGTGGTCAAGTCCTCCAACTTGGCGGGCAGGTCCTTCTCTGTAAGTACTGGTTTGAGTGGGATGCTCCGACAGGGCAGGTGGATGGGAGCCTGGGCTGGGGGTGTTCAGAGAAGGGGAAATGTCTTCTGAGCCTTTGCTGTCGAAGTGGGTCTTCCTATTGGAAAGAATCTGCTTTCCCCCCATCTGTGAGGTGCTGAGCGTAAGTAAGACACAGTGAGACTTAAGGCCTTGCCCTCCACCTGCTGGCCCTCCAAGGACCTAGAACATGCCCCCAAATAGAAACTGCATGCACATTCTGGCTTCCCCAGCAGTCAGACTCCTACGCAACAAACCTTGGACCAAATCGAACCAGCTCTTTTAACCTCGCTGCCCTTTGCCCTTATTGATATTTACTGATTTGGATTCCCTTATTGATACAGACCTAGGACCTGCCCATATGCTCCCTATCTGATGGCCTCTCTGGACTTCACTTCCCTACTCAACCAGGCTGTGAATCCCATGATTATACCTGAACCCTATTCCAGACGCCCTCCACTCCCCTACACCACCGACCAGGCAGACACTCCCTTGGGATCAAGCTGCCTACTCTGTCTGGCTCCAGTGGCTTCTTCTGGAATAAATTCTACATCCATGGGAGCAAACACCCGACCTCCCACCTCAACAGGACACTTGGCATCACTCAACCCTCTTCTCTTGCTCCTCTTCTGGGCTCTTGTTCATCTATGTTAGTTCCTTTTCTCCAGCGTGGACCCTCTCTACCGCTCCTCCCTCGTAGCCTGGAAATGTGCTCGGGTCTTTTCCATCCTAGAAGGAAAATCTCTACCATGATCCGCTTATCTCTCTAGCTACCACTGTACTCCTTCTCTTCCTGGTCAGGGGTCTTGAGAGATACCCCCACAGGAGTTTCCAGTCCCTTGCCAAAGACTCTCCTCCCCACTGCCATCTGCATACAGCCCACCCCACCTTGGTAAAGTCACCTCCGTGCCACTAAGACCAAAGTTCACCTTCGAGTCCTTAATGTTTCTTTTTCTTCCCCTTTAAAAATGATGTTTGTTTTTTAAAAAGATTTTATTTATTCATTTGACAGAGACAACAAGCAGGGAGAGTGGGAGAGGGAGAAGCAGGCTCCCCACGGAGCAGGGAACCCGATGTGGGGCTTGACCCCAGGACCCTGGGATCATGACCCGAGCTGAAGGCAGACGCCTAACGACTGAGCCACCCAGGCGCCCCAATAATGTTTTAACCTATAAACAAAAGTTTAGTGATATGGGAGAAATGCAAAAAAAATTTTTTTAAAAAGCACAAAGAGGTAAAACCACTTTGAGTCCCATTTTCTAGAGAGGATGACTGTTACTATTCCAAAGTGCAAACATCCAGCCTCTTTTTTGCATATCTGTACATAATAGATAGCTATAGACACATGGATGCTTACTTCCTTGTATGTCTCCTCAACTGGGAGCTCCTACCTGTTGGGGTTTTCTCTGTGGGAAAACTGGGTCGAAACCTTGACCTTCTAGAGAATTCTGTATCTGCCTTTGCCACGGGCCCCCGGGATATCATCAGCCCAGGACCGTATTTGGAGTTAATTTCTAGGCTCAGAAATTCCCAGACCAGGGGCGCCTGGGTGGCTCAGTTGGTTAGGCGACTGCCTTCGGCTCAGGTCATGATCCTGGAGTCCCGGGATCGAGTCCCGCATTGGGTTCCCTGCTCGGCAGGGAGTCTGCTTCTCCCTCTGACCCTCCTCCCTCTCATGCTCTCTGTCTCTCATTCTCTCTCTCTCAAATAAATAAATAAAATCTTTAAAAAAAAAAAAATTCCCAGACCATGCAAACAGTGAACATGTATACCCCAGATCCCCCTAAGGGCAGACGTGGCTTGGAATTCCCAGGGGAGACTCGTTCTCCTCATCCCATAGCACAGCTGCTGTTTTTCTAATCGAGTCTTTTGCTAAGAGCATGGCCTTCAAGAGTCCTTGAAGGCGATCTCAGTTTCCAATCCCTTGGGCCTGTCCCCTGGTCCCCATGGCTGTTGAAACCCAAGCCCCTTGATTCCTGACATCACCGAATGACCCTGGGACGACAAAGCATGTGACCCACACGACTTCAACTTTAGAATTTATATGGCATTGTCTTCACTGCCCCATATATGATCGATTTTTAAATATCCTGTGATAACTAAAGAGGACATGTGTGTTTTCTGTCTACAGAATACAAACTAAGGTACTTAATTATTAGGTCAAACACATCATACTACTCAAATCTGCCATGTAGAAATGTTGGTCTGCTTCATCTATCCAAAACAAGAAAGGTTTGTCCACATTCCCAGTATGGCTTTGATTTTGTCAGTTTGATCTCAGTTTGTTCAAACCTGAGTGTTCTAGTTTCTGATACTGCTGCTGTGGAATAGGATGCCTCCTTCTGCCCAGCCTTTGTATAAGACTGTTCCTTTCTCTCCCTTTCTAGAAGCTTCTGATGCTTCACTTCATAGAAGGTTCTGGAACATCACAAGCACATGCCTTGGTGGAATCTTTTTCAGTCATTATTGTCTTGAAAGGGCATTATCAATCTGGAGACTCCCATCTTTTGGCTCTAACATATTTCCTAATGTAGTTTTAAAAATTATTTCCTTCAGGGCGCCTGGGTGGCTCAGTCGGTTGGGCGACTGCCTTCGGCTCGGGTCATGATCCTGGAGTCCCTGGATCGAGTCCCGCATCGGGCTCCCTG